CAGAATCTCCCAGGCATTGTCACTATGGACCATGCTGACTGGCAGATTTGGAGTGCTGTGATATAAAACAGAAATGCTTCCAAAGTCCTTGAGACTGTTTTTATTTTTCAATTTATTTTACACAAGTTACACATGCTTCTTAAACAATTCCGGGTGGGTGGGCGCATCTGTCAACACTGCCCATGTATAAACAGAGCTTGGAAAAGTCTCTCTTTTTTGGCATGATAACTCTCAAAATCTAATCCAAAAAAGCAATGTTCCCTCACTCTGTATATAATTGGCCTGTGACAGTAGTGCCTTGTAAAACTAGGCAGGGAGGAGGGGCAGCTTGCTTTAGGAAGAGGCATTTTATGTTTAATGTGTACTTTAACACAACGCTTCCTTTTGCATGTTTTCAGCAGATTTGCTCCTTCAGCTGACCAAGAAAGCAAGAGAGAGAGAGAGAGAGAGACAGAAAGAATTTTTTATTTTGCTCCCTATAGGTATGTCTATGTGTGTCTCTGTTTGTCTTAGGTGAAATATGAAAATCCAACCTGTGGGGAAAAGGTATCTGGGAACAAGGAGGCCCATTGAATTTATGGGCTGGAGCTCAGAGAGACAGACCTAAACAGCTGGTATTTCTCTCCTCTCCCTGACCGCCTTTCCCACCCAACTCCAACCAGGGACAATGACATTCACTCTGAAAATAAGCTGGACATTCTGCAGAGCAGCCATGAATCCATAATGCCGAAGCCTGCTTTCACCCACCCGTGGCTCCAGTGCCATATCAGCTGCCTCAGTTTCCCCTTGGCTAGGCTTCCTTACCTTACCTGTTTTAGTCACAACTAGTCTATGTTACAGGAAGCGTAACCATTCAGAACATTGCTTTGTTACCTTTCCTTACCTATGAAGCAGAGGTGAGACCTAAAGTAATAACCAAAGGCTAAAATGAGAGGCAACAGAACCATGTGGATACAGAGCGTCAAAAGAACTAGGACAGACCTGCATGTTGTAGGTCCTTCATTGATTATCCCAAGAGAGAAATCATAAGTACTAATGAAATCATAAGTACTACAATATCACCATGACAGTCAAATACTACATAGACCTTTTCCATCGCTCTCTCCACAAGGTTACCATTTTGAAGAGACTAACGGCATGACCCAATGCATGTCTACTCAGAAATAAGCCCTGCGGAGTTCATCTAGATTTCCTTTAGGCGAGTATGTACAGGACTGCAGCCAGAGGTACATTTTGAAAACTTACCCCTAAGTAAGGAAGGGGGGGGGAAAGGTGGAGACACAGCACCAACATCAACAAAAACTAGACAGCACACAGCAGCATCAACATTTAAAATTCCTCCCATGGGCCGGCTTCTTGATTTTGTCACCCAGAAAAAAAATCCTGTTGAAGTCAATCACAGTTTTGTCAAAAGGCAGCATAGCCGGGATCGTATCCTTTTATAATGTTTATGCCAGCGCACTAACATAAACAGCACTTACACAGACTGTCCTTCATGGCTAGTTTTTCATCCGTCTCCAAGGGCAACAGAAGGAAAAGCCAGGTGCCAGACTTCTCCACCTGAACAGGAAGGAATAAGTGAGGCTTAGACTCTGAAGGGCCAAAGTCTTCACTAGTGGACATTTAAGGTGAAGTCAAGGGAAACTTATTTTGCTATAAGTCCTGTGGAACAGAAGCTACAGTCACAATGCCACTTTTATTTGAGGTAACTGGTTGTAAGGATGCTGCAAAACCAGCAATTTGTGCTTTTTCACAGTAGCCCAGCTACACCCTCAAAGGGGCCAGGCAGTACCAGGGGACTGTACCAACAGTGATCCATCCATTGACCCTGGTTGTCTTCATAGTTTAAGTGGAATGGCTGTACATTTATTATACTATCAGGAAAAGCAGAACATACATTTAAAATCACATTTTAAACACTCAGAACCAAATAGCAGCATTGAAATTCAGCATGGAAACACAGTGGAACAGGCAAAACTTAATTTTAAGAATATTGACTGAAATCTTGTCACTTAGCATAGTAATTTGTCACTAGACTTAGGCCCATTGAATCTGTAGACTACGGGAGGTCCACTGAATCCCTGGGTGGGGATATGATGTATCAACTCCTCTGTACGTTTTATTGACTCAGTGGACCTATTCTAATTGTGACTTACTATGCTAAGCAACAGAATTTCAACTACTATGTGCTCTACATCCTAAAGAAATGCAGCTATATATGCTTGGTGATAGAACCAAGTTATCATTGGTATTGGGCAAGCTGCCGTGAGGAGAGCATTTCATCAGTGGGTGTCACAACCTCAAAGGCCCTCTCTTTGGTCACCGTAGGCCTGAATTGAGCTTGGATGCCTGCCTGCCTGTCCAGGCTTAACGAATAAAGTGTCCTCAGGCTGCCTGTCCTGAGACTATATGTTGCTAATGCTCTAACACCATCCTAGGTAAAGGTAAAAGTTCCCCTTGACAATTTTTGTCCAGTCGTGTTCGACTCTAGGGGGCGGTGCTCATCCCCATTTCCAAGCCATAGAGCCAGCGTTTTGTCCGAAGACAATCTTCCGTGGTCACATGGCCAGTGTGACTTAGACACGGAACGCTGTTACCTTCCCACCGCGGTGGTCCCTATTTATCTACTTGCATTTACATGCTTTCGAACTGCTAGGTTGGCAGGAGCTGGGACAAGCGATGGACGCTCATTCCGTTGCGTGGATTTAATCTTACGACTGCTGGTCTTCTGACCCTGCAGCACAGGCTTCTGCGATTTAGCACGCAGTGCCACCACATCCCTTTCAAACAACATCCTAGGTCTGTGCAATTACTGGGGAACCCTGCTGGCCTCTTCAAAACAATACCAGAGTGTCATGTGAGAGCAGTGTCTAGTGCTGTCTAGAGCTGAATTGATGTTGCTAGCTTGTTAATTTTTCACTTTAGTGTGAGCAGATGAGGACTATTGGATCTTAAGACAGTTCAGGTTCGTTAGTCAGAGCCTAAGCTGTCTGCAAGACAGGACAACACACTGTCTGAAAAAAGCCAGCCTGGACATCAGCGTCCTCTTCCCCATGTGCGCTCAGCTTCAAAGCTGTAAAAGAGATTGTATTGTTATGTGTTGATGAACCAAATCTTGAAAGGAATTAGTATGTCATTGTTTGAAGACTTGTGAAAATTCCATTTGGCACATATACAAGACAAGCAGAATTATACTGGCTAAATACTGAAAATTAGCCTTTTCACCAGGTGAGAACATGGTTTAACACGATTCAGAGCCTGGTTCAGCTGACAAGGAGAACCACTGTTGAATTGGGTTTTGCTTTTAAAAATTCAGGAGGTACAAAACTAGGCCTGTTGTGTGACACGATGGAAGCAATTTCAAGAGGAATAGCAGTAAGGGAATCCTATACACTGTAAAAAAATTAAAGAGATAAACATAAGAAAACTGGAAGAAGAACTGAAAAATTTGGAAAGTGATTTTTTTTAGAAGGAGATACAGTGGTGCCCCGCTATACGCTTACCCCACACAATGTCGAAATTGGTTAACGATGACATATTTGCGATCACTATTGCAGATGTCCAGGTGCTTGCAGACAGAGTCTATCCAGAATCAGTGTGGATTTCAGGCTAATAGATCCACCACTGACATGGTATTCTCCCTCCGACAGTTGCAGGAGAAATGCAGGGAACAACAACATGCACTCTTTGTGGCCTTCATAGATCTCACAAAGGCCTTTGATTTGGTTAGCAGGGATGGCCTTTTTAAAATACTTCCCAAGATTGGATGTCCACCTCGACTCCTTAACATCATCAGGTCCTTCCATGAGGGAATGAAAAGCACTGTAGTTTTTGATGGCTCAGTATCAGATCCCTTTGACATCTGAAGCAGAGTGAAACAGGGCTTTGTCCTTGCACCAACCCTTTTTGGGATCTTTTTGTTGTCATGCTGAAGCATGCCTTTGGAACTGCAACAGAAGGTGTCTATCTCCAGACTAGATCAGATAGAAAACTCTTTAATCTCTCTAGATTGAGAGTGAGGACCAAAGTTCAACTGAAATGCATACTGGACTTCCTCTTCGCAGATGATGCAGCCATTGTTGCCCACTCTGCTGAAGATCTCCAACAGCTCATGGATCATTTTAGCAAGGCCTGCCAAGACTTTGGACTAACTATCAGCCTGAAGAAAACACAAGTCATGGGCCAGGGCATGGACTCACCTCCCTCTATTACCATCTCCA